TGTATAACTAAATATGCTGTGGTGTATTATACTAAACTATGTATCACTAAATATGCTGTGACGTACTATACTGAACTATGTATAACTAAATATGCTGTGACGTATTATACTGAACTATGTATAACTAAATATGCTGTGACGTATTATACTAAACTATGTATAACTAAATATACTGTGACGTATTATACTGAACTATGTATAACTAAATATGATGTAACTAAAATGGATAGAATTGTAAAACAATTAGAAAACGCACAGTGGGCCCCATAAAAATACATGAATATGAAGATTACTTTTTTGCATTTTATCTTTATTTATAAAGTTGTATAATCTCTGTTACTCTGTTTCTATTTCCGATCATAACTCATGCACCCCTTGACTGATTTGCATTACATTCATATTCTTAGAAGAAAACTTTTTCGAGAATTTTGGATTATAGAATTTATAGAAATGTTAAGAATAGAGGTCTCTTTTTTTATAGTTAGATTTTGTGAAATTAAAGAACATCATTATCTATTCAAATATTGACAAAACAGCAGTTCAAGAGAAAAAACTACATGATATATAATAAGATAGCATACTTGTAAGCGATTTGACATTGAAACAAGACATACACAGTGTGTAGCTTGAAACTTAACTTATTAAGTGAAATAAGTCTAAAAACCGCACAGTTATTGTGTTTAATGTTCATGGACTATTCATCGTTAAAAAAACTAAAAAATATTTGAGAATGAATTATATTTTAAATTGTATTTAAAATCTTCTGTTTAGTATAGGACATAATTTTTATTGAAAATATTGTGGCCTGTTTTCCGGTGCTCACTGTAATTAAACCAAATTTATAAATTAACCAAACCAAACCGAATTTGAATGAATGTTATATTTTATATTAATGCATAACTTAGCAGATAGCACAATCAATCAATCAATCAATCAATAAGTATACTATGCATGGTTTTAATGTAATGTCGGAGAATAAGACGCAGTTGAATTTATTATGGTTTTATTTCACGCTCAAGCCCTGCTACTGAAGATTCAACGCTTCAAAGTGTCAGTTTTCTATCATCAGTTTTCCATCATCAGTTTTCCATCATCCGTTTTCCATCCTCAGTTTTCCATCATCCGTTTTCCATCATCCGTTTTCCATCCTCAGTTTTCCATCCTCAGTTTTCCATCATCAGTTTTCCATCATCCGTTTTCCATCATTAGTTTTCCATCATCAGTTTTCCATCATTAGTTTTCCATCATTAGTTTTCCATCATCAGTTTTCCATCATCCGTTTTCCATCCTTAGTTTTCCATCATCAGTTTTCCATCATTAGTTTTCCATCATCAGTTTTCCATCATCCGTTTTCCATCATCCGTTTTCCATCCTTAGTTTTCCATCATCAGTTTTCCATCATCAGTTTTCCATCATTAGTTTTCCATCATCAGTTTTCCATTATCAGTTTACCATCATTAGTTTTCCATCATCAATTTTCCATTATCAGTTTTCCATCATCAGTTTTCCATCATCAGTTTTCCATCATTAGTTTTCCATCATCAGTTTTCCATTATCAGTTTTCCATCATTAGTTTTCCATCATCAGTTTTCCATCATCAGTTTTCCATCATTAGTTTTCCTAAGAAAATTAAAACATCCAGATTTCATAATCAATCTCATAGTTGATCAACTCAGGAGTCAGGAATCTCCATTGAGCCTTCAATTCACAACGGTACTCTTACAAGCTACGGATAATGTACGGCGATAGGCGATAATATTAATATAATGAAGACGACTTTTAATTTACGTTTTAATTGTTAACAAGCTTTTCTAGTATTAGAAGTAATTAAAGAGAAGCTTTTTAAATTGACAGCTTTTCTTTGTTTCCATGTTTTTGTGTGTCCATGCAGTTTAAAAGCTTGATGCAAATAAAATTTAAATCGAAAGTCGTCTTTATTTAATTGATAAAATCGCCTACCACCGTTTGTAAACCCATTCTCGTTAACTGTGGTAGACTTTGACATCCACCATCAACTTTATTTATTTATTTATCTATTCATTTAAATCCTGGGATGTGAATATTTTAAAACAGAGTCAAGGTGTAAAATAGATTTATGTTTTTGAAGAAAAACAATAAAATAAATGTAGTTTATGTTTTTCACGCATTTATACATCAATTTCGTTTTAAATTCTAGAAACAAAATATTTCAGCAGGAAGACAATTTACTTGTAAATAATACCTTGTGATTATTGTTGTTATTGTTGTTATTGTTGTTATTGTTGTTATTGTTGTTATTATTGTTATTGTTGTTTTTGAAATATATGTAATAGGCAAGCGACTTTTGACAATCAAAGGAAAGACAATTTAGTCCATACAATATTAAACAAGAGATAATAGACAATTGATAATATACAAAGGACAGTAAACAAATAGACAGTAAACATAAGACAATTGAACCGTAAACATTAAGAAAAATATGTAATTACATGAGACTATTAGGCATTAGACAATTAAACAATAGTCAATTAAACAATAGACAATTAAACTATAGACAATTAAACTATAGACAATTAAACAATAGTCAATTAAAACTATAGACAATTAAACTATAGACAATTAAACAATAGTCCATTTATTTAGAGAAATATGTTATTCACAGGCCAGTAGATATATAGACTTTTAAATATTAGACAATTGAACAATAGACATTAAGAAAAATATGTAATAGACAGGTGACTATTAGATATTAGAGAATAGACAGGTGACTATTAGATATTAGAGAATAGACAGGTGACTATTAGATATTAGAGAATAGACAGGTGACTATTAGATATTAGAGAATTTAGTCAGACAATGAAACAGTATACAAAAGACCGTTGAAGATAGACAAATAAACTGTAAACATTAGACAATTGAATAATAGGGAATAGACATTAAGAAAAATACGTAATAGACATGAGACTAATAGACAATAGACAATTTAGTCATTAGTCATTAGACAAAAGACAAAAGACTATAGATGATATTAAAACGACGGCAGTCACATAGTAAACATGATTATATAATTAAACAATTAACAATAGACATTAGACAATAATAATAAGACAATAAGAGAGTAGACATATAGATTATATAGACAGTAAAAATTTGACAATTGAACGTACAATGTTTCAAATATATCCACTATCCAGTGTTTGTAGGCTGTACTGTGTATAAAGACTGAATTCATACTGTTTTTTAACATCTGTCTGTATCTGTTTAGCATATGTGCCCCCCCCTCCCCCGGTCCCCTCCTCTTAACACTAACACATCCTTACACCATAGCATATGTGCCCCCCCCCCCTCGATCAATCCCCTCATCCTACACATCCCTACAACCAGTGCTTAGGATCTGGATCCGGATCCAAGGGGTAAAATATCAACCAAAAACTGCAAAAACAACTTTTTTACTCCTAAACCCCAACTCTGAACTTTTGAAAAAAAGAGATTACAAAAATTTCCTCATTTCTGAATGATTCATCAAGTTTTAGAATAAAAATAGGCGAAAAAAATAAAACAAAAAATTGGAAAACTATTTTTGTTAAAAAAATTCAGTAAATCTTAAAGAAATGACCTGGATCCGGATCCGCATCAAAATTAAATGGATCCTAAGCACTGCTTACAACTTAACTTGTAATGGGGGGAAGGGAAACTTACCCCTTCCCCTCTCCAGTAGGGGGTGGGGGTGCACGGTGAATGTCTGGGGTAAAGATTTGAGCAAGATAGAAACCTAAACCATGAGAATATTATTTATATCCTTCAAAAAAATTCAAATATGATATTTATTTAGGAAATTATGCTGTTTTGCCATTTTTAAAAATCAAAATGTTGCTTGGATCTGGATCCTAAGCACTGTCTGCATTAGTGAAAATTATGAATCATTATTTGTCATTGAAACAAAGATATTGACAAAAGTTTCAAAAACAAAGTTGTGTCAATTCCAAAAGCCTATCTTCATTTAAGAAAATCAACCAATAATAAATCAATATAAATTTAATTTGTTCAGAATGGTGGAGACTAGATAAGATAAGATAAGATAAAGTTTATTGCTAAAATAAATGTATCTGTATACAGAACGAGTTTACAATTACAAATTGATGATTATATTAACAGTACAAGTATAAAGCAATTAGGTGGAAAATAGCTCTTGGCTGTTTTGATTTTTTTTTCGCCTAATTTTAGTAATAATAACAAAACATTTCAAATAAATAGATTTAAGGAGAACGATTAGAGACATGAAGAAATCTGCAGTGTACAAGATATACACTATACAGTAGCCCTTTCCCGTCTTCATAGTGTGAAGGGGAACCTCATCAAGTTGTGTAAGTTATAAAATTTTCTCTGTATATCCTGCCTGGACACATTATTATTTGTTTTATTGTTGTTTATGGAGAACATTCAGCTAAATCCTTCGGTTCTCATTTGTTCTCTTCCCATTTCCATAATCCATTAAGATTTATGTGTTAACTAGCTGAAGGGCCCGGCCTTGCCCGTGGAAAACAAATGTGCAAAAAAAAAATATTGTGAAAAAATTTTTTATTTTTGTTTAGGGTATAGCACCTCCCGGCCACCCAGAAGTGTCCACAACAAATTTCAGCCCAATCGGTCCAGCCGTGTGGCCGGCTATACGCAACATGTGTAGCAAGAAATTAATTCCTTTTTCATAGTTTCCAATTCAATACTTTAAGAACAGATGGTTTATACCATTTCATGCATTATAAATATACATTAAACATAAATTAACAATACAAATAATTAATCTACGTTGATGCTAGGCGGAACTCATTGATCCTGAAAGATGAGGAGGAGTACCATGAGGAGTTTTTACAACTCTATTGTAGAATTTTACTCACAAGCTTACATGTATAGTTCGTTTTAAATGTCTTGCTCGAAATTATAGATTTCATATAATTTCAATTTTAAGAAGTAATTGAATTTTTAGAAATTTAATTTGAAAGAATAAAAAATTTAGGTTGGGTATGGAAGAAGGATGGACAGGAGATGGGGAGGATGGAGATCCTCTAGAAGGTCGGAGTGGGAATGATGTAAGTATCTGAATGAACCAATCTAATTTTGTACCAAAAAACTGTCAAAAGATTAATGTATTACCAAGTAAAGATATACAAATGTATTTTCAAGAAAGCAATGGAAATTTAATTGCCATTGCAGCGGTTCATCTATGGTTGAATATATAGACACTTTTTTACATCTGGCACCAGGTAAATGTATCGTTTACTCTCAGACAAATTAGAATCAATGGAAAATTAAATCCCCTCGGGATTCAATGATAAACCCTTGGGCTACGCCATTGATTTCCATTGATTCTAATTTGTCTAAGAGTAAATGACATTCCTTTTTAAAGAGGGGATTCAATGTTAAACCCGAGGGCTTGCGGATTTTGCCTTTGTAGATTTTCAGAGTATCTTTCAATGAAAATATCCCGGCGGGATTAAATGAAAATTGTTGCATACCAAAAAATCAGCTTTTTATATAGGAATGTGTATTGAGAGTACTTTAATATTCTGGTAAGAGCGGGACTAATTGTATCATATTGCCCCCAACACATATTTCAGAAAATGGCCTAGGAGAATTTGAACCCCTTGGTTGATGAATATCAATCATTTTGTTTAAATGCAGTTTAATTTAGATATTTTGTTGATATTTGGCTTTTAAATTAGTGTAAAGGTTCCAATCCTTACCCTTTATATTTTATTTCAAATTGACAATGGAATAATTTTTAGTTCTTTTTGTATTGTATTTGGATATTTTTGTTAGTCCTAAATTTAATATCCATTGAATTTAGAATTTTTGGACTAAACTTTATGTACTGAGCTATGATATTGACAAGGATATAATGCAAGGAAAGTTATTTCAGAGGTGTACAAATCTTTTGTACTGCTGTGTACTGTCTCCGGGCGGTAATGTAAACACAAGACGGATGTCACAGCCTGACATAGGATCCATCTTTCACATAAAAAATCAATGAAATATTCTGGTCATATGAAACTATTAAGTGAATTATTAAAATTTTCAAAATCCAATGCGTTTATCCTTATTGGATACTATACGTATACTGATGTATCTATTCTTGTTTACAAATTACGCCCAGAGAGAACTAGTTTCAATATGTACGTAGAGTACAACTGCAATGAACTTTCTTTGCATTATAACCTTGGATATTGAATTGTTGTAATATGAATTTGCTAAATAAAAGGTACAAAACAATATTTAAGTATAATATTTAATTTAAATATGGTGGTCAAGAACGTTTATTTTGGAATTTTGCAAAAAGGAGGGGGCAGAAAAATCATTTTTGCCAAATTTTGTTAACTCACCTGACTGAAATGTTATATTCCTAGTGAAATTTGCTGATATTATTTAATTTAAATTTATTGGATTAGTCAGCAGAAACCAATGTATTACTTATGTTGCCATTTTTAATAATCACTGAAATTTTTGGGTTTTTTATGCTCAAAGAGCTTTTAATTAAATCATTTAAAAACTCATGGTCACTTTTTCACGTGGCCCGAAGATACATTAGATGATTAAGATAAATTGATTAGCAGGCTATAAAGCTGAACATTTTACAACCCCTTGTAATACATTATCAACTCGTCATACAATTAATACGGTTGACTTCGTAGGGTCAATCTCATTAGAGGTCTAATATGATAATACATTTTTTAATGCATCGGGATGCATAGTTGCAGAGTTTATACATAATACATATGCATATGCATATTTTTAGTCATATATTCATGTATAGCATGAAACTATCAATATTTGAAAGATATTTGTAATTTGTATAGATGCATATTGCATAGGCAAATAGATGAAAAATATATACAAGTTTGTATATGGCTGCACAATATAAAAATAGTTTTTAATCATTCTCAGTCCGAATTTAATTAAATTGAGCCGCGTGTTAAATCCAAGAAAAAACGGTTTAAATTAACCCTTGGCTGAAATTAAGAAATATTATTTAAAATGACAAGTGGAACCAACAAAATTTTAGCCAAGGCTAAAATTATCTGAAATCGGCTTGGGTTTACATTATATTAAAAAGTTTTATTTAAAACTTAATAAGAATAAATGATAAAAATCCAATTTTGAAATGTTTAATGTTTTAGGAGGTATCCGGAGAAGAAGTTGAATCAGCTCAAGAAGGTTCAGTAGAAGATAAGGTAATGATAGAAAAAATAACTGTAATCATGGCTAAATGATATTTGTGTTGACTTTAGCCTTTACAATATTTATAAACATTCAGTTTACGTCGTTTATATGATTAAACAAGACATTCATATATATGTTGCGTAGAACTGGCCAAATTGAGCTGGACCGATTGGGCTGAATTTTTTTTTGTGGACACTCATGGGTGCCCAGTGGGTGTTATTTGGTTTAAAGGTGTAAGTAATTGGCAAATGTGAATTGCTTAAAATTTAAAATTAACGGGGCCTTCGTTGTAATTTCAAGTAACCATTCATTTACAGAATGGATGGCATGTCCGATGCCTGAAAAGTGTTCTATATTCTGACAAATTCCTTCATCTTTTTTGTATATATCCGTAATCCTGAAATGTCATACTTCAAAATATCCTTGATTTGATAACACTTTATAATAAACAAGGTTTTTAATGATAAACAAACATACATTTACTTCTTTTCTATAAATAAATATGTTTTTCAATTTCTCCGAGATCATGGAAAATGTAAGTTTGTAAAAAATTAATTTAGCATTTTTTAAGATATTATTAGTTTTATCGATTTTACACAGAGAATGAGAAGAGTTACGAAAATTTGTTTATAAAATTGAAAAGTTTTAACCAATTTTATCGGCACTTTGTCATTGTCATACAATCATTTGTCCTACAATCATTTGCCCTGCACGTCATTTGTCCAAAACATATTTTGTCCTACAGAGAGGAGATACCATCACTTCTCCTACACTTCATTTGCACTCTACATTTTTCACCGTACAAAGAGGGGATAAAATGATTTGTCCTACAATTGATAACATCATTTGTCTAAAGAAATGTTTAAAATGTTGAATTTAATTTCTTCTATTATGTTAAATAATACGCTGTCATCGTCTTTGTTCCCAGCAGGATTATTTCGTAAACATCATTTTGTAGTATTCCAGTTAAAACAATTAACATAAAAATAATAGTTTCTTGATTTTCAAAATGATCGGTTCAATATTTTATTATTACCTTCAAAATTGACGGAGATATTAGGATATTCGTCCAGATTCCAGTTTTTTTAAAAATCAACAAAATCAATTATTGATTATCAGTAAACGAATACTGAATAGGTTTAAAGGGCCGAGGACAATCAGTAAAAAAAATGCACATTATCATAATTAAATCATGTAAACACCTGTTCAATGCAGGCACCAGACTGCAGTATTAATTTTGTTCCAAATTAAAGATGATTTTTTCCAGACAACGAGAAGTTGTTTTTATCTATTATTGTTAACAGGAGGTTGAGTTGACTGTTGTTGGAGTCGTTGGAGTAATCAATCTTCTTTTCCTTGGATTCCTCAGCTACTTCTTCTTTGATCTCCAGGTTAAGTATACTTTCATAAATATAGATGTTTATCAAATTATAAGGTTAAGATGGTTAAGATTTCACCAATTTCTGGCATTAACAAATTTTATCAAATTAAAGCTTCCTTTCCTTTTCAGCTTTAAGCTTTCTTGCTTCATATACCATGTTAAGGTCACTAATCTCATTAATTACATTGTGAAATCTGTAAAAAACTGGATTTATTTAAATATATATATACTTAAATAATATAAAGATATATCTAAAGTATTTTAATCTTAGAGGAGAAAATGTTACTTCCTAAAACTTTATGCTAAATAATCTTGATCTTTAAACTTTTTTGTTTTTGCCCCCCCCCCCTTGAAAAGCTTTATTCCTAATTTCAAATAAATATTTTAGCTTATTAAAGAAATATAAAAAAACATTTATTTACCCTTTGTTTGTGGGGCAAAATAATACTATTTCAGATTGGGGAAACTAATTGTTCATCTACCCAACCTAAATTTTACTGAAGTTAGGCATTTATATAATAATAATAATAATAATCGAATTTTTGACTTGGCTGAAAAATTGCCTTTTTAATTACATTCTTTGTAATTGTAACATGATTGGTATACCGCTTAAAAAGGTTAGATAACTAAAATAATCTTTTTTAAAATATAATTGATTTTATTTCATTTTTATTTAATTTTTTTTACACCCCTGAGATGCATAGAATACTGAAATTGACGAGTACAATTTACACCCCCCCCCCTAGCTGCCTTCTGGGGCAGGTCGATGGGACTTAGTCGGTCGATGGGTTAGACTTAGGAGGTTGAGATATAGTTTAAAGTGGTCCTTTACTATATATTATATCAAGCTTGAATTGAATTGTCACATCTGGTATTGTTGGTGAAACTGATTTCTGATCCAAATAATTTACTAAAATGTTATTTCCTACTCGGTTTTACAAATTATTCCAGTTAAGTTTTTTTCTTGCATTTTCCATGCCTCTGAGCTGAAATTTCGCCTAAATTTTTTGTTTTAACAATTTTTAATTCATGGTTTCAGACCCCCCAAGACAAGTTTTGATGGGCTCTAGACATATGAAAAGATCTTGTAGATTACGATTTCAGCTTTTAAAATATTAAATTCGAGCTTTTACAACTTTTAGAAATACCTTTTACGAAAAGGTATTCTTCGTTAAATGTATTCTTTCTATAGTTTCGAAAGGCTACGAATTCTAACATTCTTGAATTTAAATATGCATTTCAACTTTCAAACTTTTGTCGAAAAAATCCGCAAACTTTTGTCGAAAAAATCCGCAAAATTACTTTTCAACACGGGCTCTAAAGAATGCCTTTCGTATGCTTGAAAACAGTGTTCCTGATTATTCTGCACCTCATAGACCTTGGGGTTGCAGCTCTCCTGTTCGGTAAGAAATATTTTTATGTACGAACTTTAAATCGGCCATATACAAACTTCTAAATCTAAATATATCATCGTTTTTATTGAGTTTTAGGTTGTCATTACTGCACTCCAATCCTGCAAATAGAAACCTTTCATAAACCTTCCTATGGTGACATGTGAAGTCCCACACAAAATATTTGCCCGATCGGTTCAGCCAGATAAACAAACAGACAAGCAAAGTATATATATTGAAATACGAGTAAAAAAGCAAAACATTAAAAGGACTGCAGATGTATAATTTCAAGTGACCGTTTTTTTAGACATTTTGGTATCATATGTGTATCTGGAGTTCTTATAACGTAAATAGTTTTACCAGAACCTTGAAAATAAACTTATTAAGTAAAAAGGGTCTGTGCACACTGCACAATTATTGTGTTCAATGTTCAATGTAGACTTTTTAATATTTAAACTTTAGTAGAGTCGTCTTTGAAGTCTCATCCTTTGTGGGTTACCCAATAAAGGAGCAAACTGTGGATTCCTTAGAATAGATTTGTTAAATAAAACTAAATTCTTTAGTTGATGGAAGCCTGGTGTGGGGTGGTTGTACCCTGGGTTTATGGAGTTTGACCACCTTTGGCCTGGTTGCTGCTCAACTGAAGCGGAAAGGTTTAAAATCAAAAGAATGTTCTCAGATCAAGGTATTTATTTATAAATTCCTACCCATCTAAATAATTACCTCCAATAACCCCCCAAAGTACACCACTGATAAAGCGTATTTTTATTATTTAGATTATCACGGTTTTTTATGAACCAAATGTTCAATAGCATTATTACAATAGGATTATTCAATATATTATGCTTAGGTTGTAATTGATACCATAAATGGACCAGTCTCCTTTTCAGCCAGGAACCTTCTTCACATCCTGGTGCTAGCCAGCATTATATTAAACTTTGTTTCAGCACTTGTTGCAGGTTAATCCTCGCTTTATAAAATTTTTCTATGTAATTAGGAGCTGTCTCAAAATCTAATTTTAATTCCTCAGCAACCGCTTGTCCTAGACTTTCATATTTCAAACTAATGATTTTACTAGATTGATCAGTCTAAAACCTAAATGTGAAAATATCAAAGGTTTACATCATCAGAAGGAAGGGATATGGGATTTAGAACATTGTAGTTTGAGTTGTGTGTTCAGGAAAGTATTTTAGATATATATATTTGTATATATTAAGGTTGCAAGTTTCTCTACAAGAAGTTGAGAAGTCCTAGAGGTTAGTATAAACACTTTAGCTAGTTACTAAACACACAATTTTGTCAAAGGAAACATATTTTTTCAGGTTAATCTATTGCAAACGTTTTAAAATTCTAACTTTTCCTCCTGAGCCAGCATTTTGTCATATCTAATAATTTTACTGAACTGAAACAACAAAATAAAAGGAAAAAACTAAGAACTGAAAGATTAAAATTATTAGATAAATTATCCTAGGTTCATCTGATGCTGAGAAGGGAGTTCAGGGAGTTCTAAAGTGCGGGAGGGATAATTGTGTGACATGCGAGGGGTTAGTAGAGGTAAAGTATTGCACATGTTATTCAAATAAAAAAGTGACAAAAGAAGAAAATGATTATGAAAATGAAAAAGATTTAGGGATTTTTGTTCAAATAATCCTTCTGCCTCAGGGTTATTGTGAACGAAAAACCCTTAATCTTGAAAAGACGACATCTAGTGCATGTTCTATCTGTATTGTTATTAATCTATGGTTACGAGTATAATGCTTTTAAAATATATGTAAGGCAATTCAGTAATAATATTCATATTTTAGGCGCTGTGTGTATATTGTTAATATGGTGAAGCAATCGTTAGGGAGGCAGGGGATTGATTTTAAATGCCATGATTTCCGCCCTCCTCGTAATTTTTCTGAAGAGGAGAGAATAAATAAGTTTCTTTTATGGTTAAAAAGTAATAATATTATTTGCTTTTTAGGGGTGTGTGTTCAAGAGCAGTATAACCCACACCAAGTATTCCTTCAAACCTCAAGATCCCTGTAACTGCAGAAGTCGAAGAGTGATCTACCTGGTCACCTGTCAAGAATGCCAGTGAGTTTCAAATTACCGATTTTTTCTGCCCAATGAAGTATAGGATTAACAGCAAAGAATGGAACTTTAATGACAACCTGAAATATTACAATCTGAAGATTAAAAAAGCCGCTAAATGAAAAAAGAAAATGTGTTAAGAGTGGTATTGTAACAGGAATTAAAGAAAAAATATCAAATAAATTTTGTAAAGTTGTCTATGCAGTCTCATGCATTGCGGGTCCCCTTGTTTAATTATATTTTCATTTGTTATTCCGCAAATTCATTAAAAAAATTATTTTATAGTAAACAGAAAAAAGCTTTTGCTGAAGATATAAAAATTAAAAGTTAAATTTTCATTTGAATTTACGTCAATATACTTTCTTGTCAATTGCAGCTTTTTATCCGTAAAAAGTAATTTGATTTTCATTGTTATTTTATATAAAATTCTAATTAGTATGCAGTATGTGGGAAAGACGGAGAGAGGTTTGTATGAGAGGCATTATGAGCACAGGTAATAATACTTAATCAGTTTTTAAACCATCTCATGAATGTTTAGAGAAACAAAATCATTTCTCGCTTAGACCATATTTTGGGACCTCAGGAAATATTTTGGAATAAAAAGTCTTGGTTAAAACATTAATTTAAAGAAAAAAAATATGAAAATTGATATTTTTTAACAATATTGTTGTAAAATTTAAAGTAAATTATCTTAAATCTGTTTCATTATTCATGGGAACGTTTTTTTTCTTACTAATCGTTCTTCCATATTATGGTATAAAGGTTGAACAACTATTTAATATTTTAATTATATCTAGGAAAGAGGTCAATAATGAGAGTTCCCCACTGGGCAGACATTTCGGGAAATGTGGGGAAAAGAACTGGAGTATCCAGATCATTGGTAGGATTAATCTAATATTCATGATTAACTGTCAGATTTTTAGTAATAACTCATTCATATCTTATAAATTTTGATAATTTGCTCATATTTCGACAACATGCAACGATCGCAAAAGTGTGTTTTGGATACAATTTAACTATTATTTTATAAGCTGCTGTTTGATAATTAACCACAGATTTGGTTCTATATTATTTCAAAACAATAAATAGTTTACATCAACAAAGACAAATATTTTTTTAAAATCATAAAATATTAACTATTTATTCTAGAAAAATGTAGTTCAAGTGATGCGCTAAGTAAAAGGGAGGGTCATTGGATAAAAGAACTGAGGTAGAATTTCCTTCCTCAATAACTTTCTCAATTACTACAAATCTTTGATTCATGTCCTGTCCATAAATTGGGAATGTTATCTAACTTTGGAAAATGTCCAAGATTTTGATGATCAAACTTTGATGGGAGCTTTAGTTTTTTTAAAATATACTCCATCTGTATAGATAGAATATTAAACTAAATGTTGTCCAACTCTTCCAACTGATCAAATCTGTTTTTAGATGTCTGTCCCCAGATGGAATAAACATAAGAGACGAGGGTAAAGGTAAGAATTTTTTATTATTGACACTGAGAGGAATTTTATCAAGAAAACTTTAGAAAACTTTCTTAGAATTCTTAAGTACATTTTTTGAAAATTTACGATTTTAAAACATGATGTAGCATTTCTCTTGAACTCCCGCTTTCCCATGTTTATTAGTATTTTAAATATAAACTGATATAAAAATGTTTTTTTTAGAGGGTTTGAATTTGAACCCAACTACCCGGAGACCCTAGGACGCGTAATTATTATCCGTGCTCCTATACAGAGTATTCCCGATCCTCTGGACTTTAGTGTGTCTCCTTGTAAACGAGACAAACATCTTTCTGATTGGTTGGAACGGACAGCTTATTCAGGTTGGATAATGGATACAATGGGGGGGGGGTGGGGGTCATGCAATCAGTAATATTATCGTTCATGGATTTTATTTTCTCTTGAATAACTTATGATCAATAAAGAGAAGAATAAAATCACTGATAAAAATAATAAAGAAACATAAATACAGAAATTATTGGACTTGTAAGAAGTAGATTAAAAATCGGTGTTAATATTAATTAAAATTGATCAAAAAAACTGAAGAAGATTCCGTAAATGTACCCCGAAGAGAAACATAGGCTAAACAAAATTCGATTTAAATTTTTTTTTTCATAATTCAAATTGTTTTTATCAAAAATTGTTTTTATCAAAATTAATTTTTTTTTCAAGTATTACTAAAATTCTACGGTAGGGTTTCCATTCGCAAAACTTTTGCGCAATTTTTGCGGAAAGAAACGCAAAATTTTTCTTTCTTTGCGCATCAGTTTTGCGCGAAAAAATAACAATTTGCGCAATCATTCGCAAAAGTCATTTCGCGCAAAATTGCCCTATTCCGCTTTTGCGAAACTCAAGTTTTGCGCAATTCCGCAACTAGAGTTTTGCGCAATTCCGCAATTTCGTAAAAATCAAACGGTTGGTAACGGTGTGTATTTCTTAGAATTAAATTCTGGAAAAATCTTGTTTTGGAATAGGAAATTGGTCACTTTTACAATTTTCTCGACAATTTTAGTTTTGGACATGCATATTTCCTAAAAGTGGATTCTTCAGGCATTGGTTACTTTCTTACATTATTTTATATGAGATTAAAAAGATTTCAGAAATTTGATTAAAAAAATTTAAGAATCTAATTCATACTTGATTAGGCAAAGCTTTTAAGGGTCACTTGAAATTATTTAATAGGATTAAAATATTGCCAAGTTTCACACTCTCTAATTTCTATTTTATTAATTTAAGTCCCTTAATTTAAACTTTTTGCAACTGGAAGTAACCAATTGAGTGTAGTGTAATCGTTATCATACTCGTATGTTAATATTTTTTTATGCATGGAATAAATCTTCAGTTGTTTAATTCTAAGCTTAGAATATCAATTTTTGACAATTTGCCTAAAAAGTTACATTTTGCGTAAAACTTGCAGTTTTGCGCAAAAAAATAGCGCAAAACTCATTGCGTTTCATGCGCAAAAATAGCGCAAAAGTTCGCAAAAATAAAATTTGCGCGAAAATAGCGCAAATTTTGCGCAAAAGATTTAGCCATTTCGTGGAAACCCTATTCTACGGGCAACGCACGGGCACTTCAACTGGTATATATATATATATATTTATTTTAAATGTTAAGGTTCGGAAAAGTGAGAGAAATCTAAAAGCTTGAAATCTGTGAGATATAACTCTTCTTCTCCATCCACTGGAGATGCATATGGAACGAAACCCTAGGTAAAATATAAAAACTATGGTCACTTTAACAATAACAAAATTATTAGTAAAACTTGTTTTTACGCATTCCTAATCAGAAAGACACGGAACTAATTTACAGTTGATTAGACTTTAAAATATAGTTTCTACAAATATGATTTATCAAACGATAATCACAAAATAGCTTTGCCATTTCCAAAAAGTGGTCTGCCTTTTTTGAACAATCTAAATTGCCAGAAATGTATGTAAAGTCGCCTGATTAACTGTCAATTAATTTTAAGTCTTTCTGATTATGACAAGATTCGGCAAGATAGCATCCAAAACTTCTGATTTTTCTTTCAAAATGTAATTAAGTCAGTGACCTACTTTCAGCTTTTTATTTGGTGTTGTTTGACGTTTTGAAGTTATCCTGCGTATTCAATAAAAAAAAAGAATATTTTTGAAGAATGTAACTTTACAAAATGGCTTTAGGGAATTTTTGAATGAAGTGAGGGAATAAAGTTAACAACGAATTTCAACATAATTATTTTATTCATTTACTTTGAAGTATGGTTTTCAATCCGAATTCTGTTGCGCAGAATTGCGAGCTGAATTGCGTGGAATTGCGCGCAAGTAAAATCCAATGCCTGTTTAGAAGTTCATAGTTTATGTTCTAGGTTTGGAACACTCTGAGGTATTCAAGTTAATGGAAGTCTACGTGAGAAGTCCCGCGCTGAGCCTCAATATTCAAACTTTAACCGGGATCCATTTGGTACTATGCGAGCAGCCCGGGGTTCCAGTGTACCCTCTTCCAGGACAGGGTACCAGGGCAACATGACAAGGGACCTGAAAACCAGTAAAGGGGACCAGGAATCCTTGATAGGGAACCTAGAAACCAGAACAGGTCACAGGACGGATAAGAGTGTTGAGAGGGTTGATGAGCCAGATTACCGTGGAGTAGGAGAACCTGTAGACCCTCAGCTAGCTGCCACTGATGAACTACTTGGTAATAATGATCTCTTATACATACACAAGCAGTTGATTAGGTGGATGACATTTATGCAATCTTATTGGTATTTGATATGTTTAATGTTTTTTTTTAGACTATTATAATGAAAGCTGGTGACGGTGCCGTACTGAGCGAATCGCTTGGTTTTTAGAGAGTCTCCAGAAATGGAGCTGTCTTGGGCAGACCGCCTACTTTTCTGGAGAGTCTCCAGAAATGGAGCTGTCTTGGACGGACCGCTTGGTTTTTAGAGAGTCTCCAGAAATGGATCTTTCTTGGGCGGACCGCTTGGTTTTTTGGAGAGTCTCCAGAAATGGAGCTGTCTTGGGCAGACGCCTAGTGTAAGTCTTCTCCCTAGGGTGACTAGTTCGGTCAGCCCATGGATACGTTTCGGCGGCTAGGAGCGCCGACCCCTATTTCATTGAATGATGGGTTGTCCTTTAATAATGATAATAATAAAGCATGACTTGAGTCTATAAGTCGTCTTCAGAAATAAACATTTTTATTGGTTGCACGGTTTATGTATATTTGTGAGGTGTGTGCTTATTTACTGGTTCAATCCAATAAACTGCAGCTCAAAGCAGCTGAACTGATCTGACCAAAATTTCCTCTTAATCATAATCACAAAACTTTACAGAAACTGAGTAAGAATGATGTTTTTTTGCCTTAAAATTTCCATTTAGACTTTTGGAATTTCTTCCAATCAAACAGATAATCAGCAAAAAATTTTAATTTAACTGCAAAAAATGTTAAAAAATATCTTTTTTTTTACTTTTATTATTTGTCTTTTTTTCAAGTTTCGTTTTCAAATCCTAATTGTAAATTTTTTAAGGCATCACGTAAATGAACCAGAAGAACAGAATAAAAACTCCAGACCTTATCAGAAACCTTCAAGTTCATTGCTCAGAATGTTTAAACTTAAGGTAAAGAGTTTTAAGAACCGGAAACAAAATCTTTTTAAAAAACTCCATATCGTCCAAACCTGCTGAGTGCTGACATATATGGCGTAAACTTTGTTATTCTAACAAAAGTATAGCTTTAAAGATAAAAATTCTACAACATCATGGGCTGCAATGATACTTGGACTAGAAAAAAAACTTTTGGCGTGTGTTCAGTTCTTCATTTTTGAAGTTGGAGTCTTTATCATTTTATTCGCTATGGCTTTCATTTGGCTAATTTTTTTTTGGCCAAATTCGTTTTGTTTCCGTCATTGTTCTTCTTTCTTTAAATTATGGAATGTCAATAATAATCCGAATGATTATTCGTATTTTTTTTATACCTCAGTTTCAAAAGTTGTTTCTTTAACATACATATCCTGTTCTTAATCGTCTATGGTCTGACCAGATTTTATTAATAGTACATGATTGAATCGTATTGGCTTTATACCTTCAGTACGGGAACGCCGATATTGGAAATTTATTCCAAATGTTGTAAAGGCAAAAAAAATTCAATGTTATTTCATATTTGTTTAATCTACGTGATTTACAAGAAAAGATTTGAGAGGTTTGCACAATTGTCTTACTTTTTATTAAAAAACTTTCTAGGGTGAAGCCAATAATGGACTTGGTGCGCATTGGCTAATCTTTAAACTAATCTAGGATCCGAATGGAAAATCTACCACAAGCACCAAAAAGTACACAAAGAACTGTTCCGGAAGTTTCCATGAAGAACCAAACTTGAACGAATCGGAGATGAGCGTTGTCTGCCTTCCTCCCACTCCCTTGAAACCTGAGGAAAGCCAGGGATGGGTATCCAGTCAGATTCTTCCATTAAATAGGTTTTCCTCTGACTCCACCCTAGCCAGGAGTAATCCTCCTCCAGCTTACAAAGAGCCTCCTCCTCCAACCAAATCAAAACCAATTGCTGAAGTTTCTCCGTTCTCAAGCAAAAAGGTAACTTTTTGTTTAAATCGATTTTTTACCGGGACTGTTATTAGATCAATTTCAAGTAACCCGTTTTACAATATAAAAAGTACCCTTAAAACCTTCATCTGATACAAAGTGTGGATTATAACGTCGTTTATTTGACTCGAAAAGTGTTTAAATCTGATAACGTGTCCATTGCTTATATAAGCAAGAAATACGCAATTAACTTTCGCAGGAAAACTACAAATAAAAACAGTCTAAATACACAGAAACAAACGCAAATGTGTTGTAAAATAAGTAAGTTCAGACAGGTAACTTTTCCCAGGTTCTCTTCTCCTTACAACAGTCCTTAATTTGTTTTGTGTTTAGGGGAGTCACGTGACCCACTATGTCGGGAGTTATATCTACACTGAAGCTACTTTGACAAGATAGTGGTTGGGAATCAGGATATGTGGGATACAATCAATCCTGCTGACCTTCAGTTCGAAGGGATCAACACAATATTCGTGTTCAGCTCCGGGTTCTGAAGAAGCTGGAGCTGAAGAGTGAAAACTGAACATTATAATTCTTCCAGTTCCGTTGGACTAAATGATAAATTGAAATTTCAAGTGAATCTTTATTATTATTATAAAGATTTATTCACACACAAAGATATAAATACATATATAAATGGTGTAGTTTAAATTTGTTTAAATAAATTTTTGAAAATACAGGTTTCCAAAAGAAAAGAGAAAATATGCAAAATATGCACAAATAGACAACATTGATCAATTCTCATTAAATAACATATTTATCATTTCGGTTATACCGTAATCATCGGATCCTTCAACATATAAATTATTCATTCTTGTATTTAAAAGTTCTTGTAAAATCGGAACTTTCCATGCATGTTCCAATGGGACATCAAAATATTTCATTTGTTTCTTAACTAACATTTTACTAAGATCCGAAGGATTTACAGAACAATCATTTGCAAAAGAAAATAAACTTCTGCCAAGAACTGTGTTAAGGTCATTTTTATATAATCTATATCTATATCTATAGCTAATCTATACACATGTATACTGTGCTGTTCTATTCCGCTAATGTACAGAGTTTTTATGAAATATATTATTATAGTGCTAGAACTCAGAGCTATTAAATCTTAAACTGAAGAACAGGACATAAATAGTTTGCTGCTTATAAGTTTGTGGGGAATCCTAGGCCGACCCTGTAAAAATTGTTCAGAGGTGCACTTTTTCTTTTGAATAGATATATATGAAACTAAGAAAAATGCAAAATATTTTTAATTTTGGACCATTTTTTCCGGTGCCGCCGGAAAAACGTGATTTTTTAGCCATTTTTGAACTTGATTTTATTTCTAAAATCTTTTATAAAATCCAAAGTTTTTGTTTGAGAATAATATTTTATATCATTTTGGAAATCCCAGATAATGGTCTAAAAGATTAAACCAACTAATACTGAATATTTTGAAAATTTATAGTTTTATAAGCAGTTTTAGCCCCAAAATCATCGATTTTATTGATGCCCACTTGCACCTCACTAACATACCCTTAGAACTGAACAAAAAAAATTAATTTTGTTATTTTTATTCTAAAATGTCATTACTTTTTGAAATACCTTAAAAAACTCCGTTTTTTGAGTTTTTTGAAAATTGTAACTCTTATAATTTAACGACGTATTTGGACATTTTGAACTTGTTTTTTAAAATGTTCATAAAATACATAGTTTTTGACTTGGAATATTGTTTAATATCATTTTGGAAACCCCAGATACTACTTTATAAGATAAAATTTTAAAATTTTGAAAAATTGTTGAATTTTTTTTATTTTCATGCAAATTTAGTCGAAAAATAATCGGGTTTTTTACTATTCACTAACTTTGGTCAATACACTCGCTGACAAATATTTAAAACATGTTTTTAGTTTTTTCACTTTCTATTTGATAAATTCTATGCTTAATAATTCAGACCCTGTTCCGTGAATCGGTTATGGCACTTAGAAATATGCTGACATTTAAACGGATACTTAAGTTCTTTTCGGCCAACAGGACGGAAATAATTTTTAATATTTTTAAAGGAGTATTTACAAGGACATAATTCCAGTCATAATTTTATATACGGTGGTAGGCGATTATACTAATATAATGAGGACGACTTTTTAAATTTTAATTGTTAACAAGTTTTTTTCGAATTACAAGTTTACTTGCTTTTCAATTGACAGCTTCTCTCTGTTTGATGTTTTTGTGTATCCATGCTGTTTAAAAGCTTTATATAAACAAAAATTAAAGCGAAAGTCGTCTTCATTAAATTGATAAAATCGCCTACCACCGTATATAAAACTAGCCAGGGAACCCAGCTTTGTTTGGAAACTAAATTATCTCTATTACATTATTATTTTGAAATTTATAGTCGAGCAAGAAAAGAGTTAGACAAGAAAATACAAAAATCTAAAGGGTGAAAATGGGTTCAAAATTTTAGACAATCAGGACCTTAAATTTGCCGTGAAGAAGGGGGGGGAGAGAATTTCTAGAAATATTACTGCATGTTTTGTTAAAAACTGGCATAACTTTATATGTCCTAGAAGTGGGAGGGAACCCTTCCAGATTTGCTATGCAGCACCGAGCCTCTGTTATGCTAGGGGGATACCACACTTTGTGACACACAATTTTGTACAGGCTGCCTTTTGGTTCTAATAATTGAGGTAGAAGGCTGAAATTTTGCATTCAGCCTCCAATTGTGATCATCTACATAGATCACGAAACTTGAGATCATAGGTCATTGACCTCCATTTTACCTCCATGAACTCAGAAAATATGGGAAAATTACCACTTTTTTTTACTCTAATTCAATTATTTTAAGTTAATCAGACATGTTTTCATATTTTTTGCTACCATATAAGTCATGCGCTGATACAGACACATAGATCCGACCTGCATTTTGACCCCCCTTTGATAATGACCTCCAAAAAGAGTCCAATATTAAATTAATGAAAATAAGTCATATGAGGTATCAAATCATTGGTTTTTTGAAGTTCCGATTCCATTCTGATATCCCATTTTGATCCTGGAGGTCGTTACCTCCAAAATTTGTTTACCTCTGGGCTCTGAAATCAATGAAAATAGGTCATATGAGGTATTAAATCATAGGTTTTATCAATTCATAATCGATTATCAAGTTAATCTTTAAATAGGCTCAGTTTTATTATTAACATTTATTTTGATCTTTCTATTATACTTAAACCACAGATAACACAGACTGCTCATACACTCTACCTGGATAGGCTGAGCAGGCCTATAGTGTCCCGGCACGCCATGCTACGGTTCCATGTAATGTTTTTTGACTGACATCTCACGGCCACTTGTTGCATTCAGGGGTTAAGTTTTACAACTTTAAAGAAATACTCCAATTTTAAACATAAAACATAACGTTTATGAATATTGTCTATTTTTAAAGATTTTTCATTTCCTATTCAAAGGATCCATAAATATCCCTGAATACAGATGTCTCCTATAATTGGTCGTGTACAGTACTTGTACACAATAGAACATGCTGGGGAAAATATCGCATATTATATAGGTGTTAATCGATCTCTGTAACTCTCTTATCTCTGTTCTGTTTTATATAAATGCAGGGTGTCCGAATAAACATGACATTGTCGTCTATTTTTGTAATTTGTATCCTATTTATGCCAGGCATTGGACAACATTCTTAAAAACTTTTATCTCTATTTTTTGTACACACTTTTTCCTTCAATAGCCATCATATGTATCGATCATGTTAAGTGGGCCGTTTCGTTTTAAACAGTTTTTTATACAAGATTTCGAGTGATAAAGAAGCACACTTTCCTTGAATATTTTCTTTAAACAGTCCGCCTGTACGGGTATTTTAATGGTTATTATTTTAATTTTAAGCATTTGCTTGTCTGTTTTGTGTTCACACAAAGAAATATTATTTATTCAAATTCTTAAATTTTTCTTATATATTCAGCACATGAAAATTCTGCGAAACAAAAAACAGGGAATCATAGCGAATATTTATTTTTATTTTTTTTTACAATTAAAGATAAATTTTTCACATTTTTTTATAATTTGTAAATCTATATACTTAAATATTTATTCCTTTATAAAAAGTTGGTTCTTTGGTATGCAACAATTTTCATTAAATGCTGTTAATCGAGAAGCTTATATAATACTAGCTTGGGAACCCAGCGTTGCCCAGGATACTCTCATGGTTACTCTCTTCGTTTACCCGCACTCGGTCGATTTGACCGGGAAACTAAATTTTTCTTATAAAATTAGACCTATTCAACTTAGAATCTTAAAACCAAGCTAAGAACATTTCCGCTGGTCTCCAGAGTTCCCAAAGTTTGGGGTAAATCGGTCAAGGGGTTCCTCAGTTATGATCGGACAAACAAATTAACCAGCAGAGATTACAACTTCATATATATAGATAGATGCTAGTTCATGTTAAAACCAGCTTTTCAGAAATGTAATTACTCACAGATAAATCTAAGTCAACGGAATTTCAATGGAGGGTCATTATTGGTTCCTTTAATACATTCCTTGATTTACTGAGGTTTCTTATACATCACAAAACCAGCTTTTTACAAAAGAACAATTATTTTTACGAGGGTGGTTTAACTAGATATTGGAATAAGTTTGAGTTGAGAATATAATCCGGTGCAAATAATCCAGTATCATTCTTTGTTCTGAAACATATATTTATCATTTGTTATATACACATTTTTAATGAGACACATAAATCTGTGAAAAAAGTGACATTCAAACAATATTTTGTGTAATTGAAGGTGTAATAAAAAACAAGAAGTTTAACCGGGTTAAAGTTTGATAAACATTTTATCAAGTGAAATGGGTCTGAGTACACTGCACAATTCCTGCGTTTTGAGTTTATTAGACTATTAAAACTTGAATCCAACATTTGTCTTCCAATTTCATAGTTTTATGGGCCTCACTGTAATTTATTTCATAGTTTACGCTGAAACCGACTAGACATTACCAGGGTTTAGAGACGACTTCACGGATATTATTCAATCTTATTTCTTACATTCATTTCTTTCTTTTTTCTTTTCCAAATAATTAAATATAAACCCTTAGAAGATGGGGAAACAAAGGAACTGTGATGCTATTATAAATAATTTTGTACAATTTTGTACTATTTTGTATTTATTTTTAAGATTTTTTAAAATTTTAAAAATAAGACTGTAAGAAGACGTTTTTAAATGCCAAAGAGCAAAAAAACATAAACCCGTCATATTTAAAGATTATTTAGGTTCTTATTAAAATCTTATCGATGAACTGGAATTTATAATAGTTGAAAATCAAATCTTAATATAGTCTTTCAATTGTATACTTAACAATTTAAAAACAAGTTTACAGCTGTACGAGCCCAGAAATGTCAAACAAAATATTAAAAAATTTCAATACAGTTGTTTCTGAAGTCTCATCCTTTATGGGTATTTAGCTTTAACGATTTGCAAACATAAAATCATATATGGTGTTTTTAAGAGTTGAAATAAAAAAAATTTTAAACGCTAAAATCAGAAAAAGAAGCAATCTCACATCTCTTGTTTATTTAATGTGAAGTACATTCATGAAATTTTTAATTTGTACTGGGTTACCAATACAGAATGAGACTTCAAAGACGACTGTACGGAATTTATGTTATTAGTTTACTTATATTTATGATTCTCAGCAACTTTAAACTTGCTTTTTTCTTTGCAAAATAATTTAATAAATCATTAAAAAAATATATTCAAGGCATCCTTGGGATTGTCCTTTTATATGAGTTTTAGGTCGTCTTTACAATCTCATCCTTGTGGGAAACCCTGTAACTGTTTAACTAGTATTCTTGAATGAATTATACCTTGGGACTGATATGAAGGGTTTAGATCCATCAAACCATCCACCAGTTCTGATCAATTCTACACTCGGGGTTTTTTGGAAATGTGATAATTTAGGAAGAAAACGTGAGCTCAACTCTAACTTAAAAATGAACAAATAACGGCGTAGTTTATCATAAATAATATGTCAATAAATAAACTGAGGACGTGATATTATATTAAGTAACCCTCAATTTATAAAGTAGCATGTCCGATTCATAAGAAACCCTTGTAACCTTTAGTTGATCATGGATGAATAAGATATCCTAGATTTTCGTCGCTAAATATTAATTTTTTTTTCAGTTGTGGCTTCGGTGACGAGAGTTTTATGCAACAGGAGAGACAATGAATGATATTGTCAGAATTCAAGGTATAAAAACGGCGATATTGTTCAGATAAAAGTTCAATGGGATGCCATTGTTACTTGGACATGTCACTTTATGGGGAATTTCCCAGAAAACGATTTTCGGACCCCC